AAAAAGGGGCTTGTATATAGAGAGAGGCTCCCAGGAAAAAAGATGTATGGTTTATATAGAGAGAGCTCACCCTAGGGTCTACCCAAATTCATTAGACCCTTGGGTGAGAGAGGGTTCACCATTAATAACAGTCAAAAGCATACGGAATCGTAGATTGTTCATGCTTCAAAAGTGAAAAAGAAAAGATGGCTTTTTATTTTTCTTTAAAATGTTAAAGGCATCGAATATGGTAATGCATCAATCCTCATACTTGGGGAACTTTCCCCATCATTCCCCAGGGCAAGGAAAGTTGAAGACCACCTAGATAGGTTGCCTTCAACTTCCCCACTACGGGAATGATAGAGAAAGACGTGGATTTTTTTTTTTTTGGGCCGCTTTCACCCGAACATATGGGTGAAAGGCAGGCAATGTGAAAGGTTGGGAAAGCCGCGAACTTTCCCACCGTTTCATGGTTATCCAACAGAGCCTTGGAGAACACTTAGAAACCGTATATTGGAGCTTTTTAAAATAACTTGTTCTGCAGGGTGGGGTGGGAGGCAGAATCATCAGGGTGGATCATAATATGCATTTCATATGTTACATTTCTGTTCAGCCTCGCCATTTTCTTGTGTCGTTGTTTAAAGATTTCTCCTTGGTAATTTAAAGGCTAGATAGGCTCCCTTGGTGGCATGGGAGGTTCATAGTTCCAATAGATGCACTTGAAGATTGTTTATGCATGAGGATAGGTTCAAAGTAAGATTGATAGGGCATTGTCAGAAAGGTGGCTATGTTGTTTACTATATGAGCAGTAAAGGGTTGTGCAATTTTTGTAATTCCACAATTATATGGTGAGGGTGAGGTGTGGTGAGGGAGGGATTGTAAAGTATGGTACATGCCAGCAAACAGGCCACTTCTTCATGAGTGTGCGCTATCAAAGTCTTCTGCGTGTTATGCGCAGCACTTGGGATGTCTGATATGGAGTGACAAATTGTGGGACCAAAACTTGTGAGTCCCATTTCTTGATCTTTGAGCTACATATCATAGTGTGAGGCGGAAGTAGCCAAATGGTAAATAAAGATGCATGAGTGGAGAGCATGAGGCATATGCTATTGGGGATTTAGAGTATCTTTAATAGGTGGGAAGAATTTCACAGGAAGTAGTGGAGATTCATAGATTGAATTACATCAGGGGAAATTATGTATTGTGATCTTTTTTATGCATGTGATTTTCTGGATAAAAATTTTTTGTAAGTCCCTGTGGTTCCACGAGGACTTCATCTACCCACTAGGTTTTTCTTCTCATGGGTCGTGGCTTATGCTTGAGTAGCAGTCAAGCAAGGCACACTCATAGGGAACCATCCTCATGATGGAGAACTTTGTTAGTGTGTGTATAAGACATATAAAGAGCCAATAGACCATATTGTCTTTTCCTGCAACTTATCACCCTTTGTGCCGGTGCTTTGGGTGTACTGGGTAGTTCCCCACATTTTGATGTATCAAATCGGGAGGGGAATATGCAATAATGTCATCTTCAGTTCATGCTGATTTTTTCCTCGTCTTAGGTATTGATGAAATCAGCCTCCTCTACTGGATATGTTACTCTTGTGGTACATATTTGTTGCATTCTCATGCTTGGTGTTGCTTCTGTTGACACTCCAACGTTTTCTATGTCTAGCCAACTTTAAGTCTTCACCTTTGAATGCCTCATCATCTTTTTTATTTTTTTCCTTGTGAGATGATCTTGTTCTTGTTCGAAGATCCACTTGCTGCGTGCGTCTATGTCATCTTGATGTGATCGGATTTTTTATTATTATGATTAAGATGTGCGACCCCCTTGACCTCGAAATTTGTAGTGCAAGTACTAGAGTTGTTTCCTGTGGCCCACTTTTCTTGCTCTGGATCTACAAGCTAGAGAAACATAATTGACTGAGATAATAGGGCTAGCAATGCGAAATAATAATGATGCTTTTTTTTTTTTAAAACTGATTAACTTTAATAATGACTCTAATAAGGAAAATTGTTTCATGCGGGCTGGACCGCATTTCCACAATATGCAGTCCAGAGGTATAAAGCATTCATCTTAAAGATGGGTGCAAATAGGTGATCCATCTAAAAACAAGTGTAACTAACGGTCCAAATTTTTTCGTAATATAATTATTATTTCTAGTTTTCAAATTTTTTTTTTCTCATATTCATGATCTCCTTGTTAAAGATTAAATATACTCTAAAAATGAGGATCAAATTATATTTAAAATATATATTTATTGCCAAGCCTGCATTTCTACAATATGCGGGCTGGCCGCATTTCTATGTCAAAGTAAGTCTCTACAGTCATGTAACATTTGACATTTATAAAAAGAGGACTAGTTGAAGATCAGCAAATGATGTGGGGTGCTTCTTTATTCAATCCTTTCTTTGAAATAAATATGATAATGTTTTTGAATGAATTTGCGATGTTGGGGTTCTTAATCCTTCCTTTTTGCAGGTGTAACAGTCAGAGAGAAGCTGTGAACAGCCAGACAGTGGCAAGTGTTGCCTAATTTATTGTTTTGTAAGGTTTTGAAGTTGTTTCCGCTAGGGCTTGAGTGACGGTGAGTGAAGGAGAGACTGCATGTTTTTTCTCCTGTTTGTATTGTGTTTGTGGTTTAAGCCTTCGTGATGAGAAGTGAAATCTTATTCATTTGGGTTCACTGTAAAGTATTTTTGATGGAACAGTAGTAATTTTGTTTGAATGCTCTTTAGGTATGTTCTGATCTTCACGTGATGAACTTTTGCATGGTAGAAGAGTTTCAGGCGTGTGTTTTTATGGTCATTATAACTTTCAAGTGATTTCCCCAGTCTGAATGGTCTAAAATCTCTTTTTTGAGCTTGTGACCCATTGATGTCAGCCTATATCCATGAATTTTTTAGCTTTTTAACATGATGTGCGATAGAAAAGGATTTAGGAGTGTGTTTTGCTCCAGATGGTGCAAGGTATATGTGATCCACGACAGGGGGATCACCATCCATCTCCCGATGATGGCCCTGGAGACTAGCTGCAAATGTACCTGGGTGATTGTTCTTGATCAAGATACATGCTTGATGTCCAGCATTTGTCAAATGATGGATTCCAAACTGTGTGATCTACGTTTCCATGGATTTATGAACGAATAAATATTAGAAGAGCCGATTGCGAGGTTATGGAAACAAATGAAATTGTTGCAGATACTGGATGATTTCATACCCCTTTGATAGCCTGTCTAAATCACAGGGTGCCTCTTACCCCTGTTGCATCTCTCTCTCCGCTTACCCAACCCATAAAAGCTCGTTCTTTCTCTCACTTTGGAAGTAGGTGTGTTCATCCTCTCTCAACCCCTCGCTAAACATCTCTCTCTCTCTCTCTCTCTCTCTCTCTCTCTTATGTATATCAAAATCTAGTGGCTATAAATTTTACTTTTATAAATTGTTCTTTTTCTTATGATTTCTTTCACTTTATTTTTATTATTATTTTTTTAAAGGCAGTTATTTTTATTGGTATTGTTTGACGGTAAATTTTGTACTGCATCTCTCTCTATATATATCCGAGATCTCTCACTTTCCCAGTTTGCTAAGCAATTTTGATGTGGATTTGGTGAGAACATGGAGATTAGGGCGACCTATTGTTAAATTTATTACAGTGAGGCATAGAAGCCTTAACCGGCACCACCGCCCAATTGCAGTCTGAAAAGAAACTCAAACAGGCTGTTTAATTTGAAGATGACTCAATTTTATATCACCACCGAGCAATCAAACACCCCCACAAAATAAATAAGAATTTTTCAGTCTACGATTAAGGAAATTGTAATTTGAAATTTTAATGAATTCAAATGTTTTGAGTCAAACGGAGCCTTACCTATTTTTTTAAAAAATATAGCATGCTCATTTAGGACCATTAGGAGCTCTGTATGAAATTTTAGGAATAAATTTCCATTAATAAATGAGAAACTAAAAAATAATAATTTAATTCCAGATCTGACCATTCAGGAAAAGGATGGTCTTTGTTTTGAGATAACACCCTTAAAATTTCGGGTATAAAATGTAGGGTTCTAAAAATACCTTTAGCTAGGTTTTTGTTTTGAGGGAGCAACTGTGCTATTTACTCCTGCAGGAGTCTATAATATTTCTTTGCTCAATAATTGCAATACATCGAAGTTGTTGGGAATCAATGTACATCCATGGATCCAACGCAATCAGAATGAGAGAGAGTTCTAGTCCATGATCCAACACAATGAGAGAGACCGAGGTTGACGCCAGAACTATTATTTTTGGCGAGGTTTGAAGTAAGGTTTTACTTATTTTGATAAGACTATAGCCCGATTAAAATATTTTTCTTTATCATAAGCCTAGTGAAGAGAACAAGCTTCTCAAAAATGGATTATTCATCTTACCAAATTCTTGTGACGCTCAAATCTCGTTATTTAGTGGCCTTGATGGTACTGTTTCCTTCTCTCTTTTTTTGAGCAGTATTTCCTCTTTCTTGCTGGTTTATCAAGACTTTGCAGAAAGGCAAAAGTGTAACCTACGTCAATGTAGTTGGTTTGTGGTTTATGAATAATTTTCGTACATATCTCTTATATTTTTGTAGGTATCTATTATATTTATGTAAAAATTTCAAATACACCTTTATGATAAGTTGTTTATAAACAATAACTCTTTAAACAAAATTAGTGAGGAGTTGAACAAACCCATATACACGATTAATTGTGATTATATATATATATATATATATACAATGTACAAAGGCTAAAATTTCCTTTTTAACAGCGGAATAGTTTTTCTGGGTATTATTCCATGCTTTGAGGTAAACCTTACTAAATATTCTTTTTTATTTATCCTTTGTTTAAGTATGCCTCCCTAGCCAATATCAGATGCATCACATTCGATTATTTTATAAGCATTAGGATAAAGATAAGCAGGGTAATTCTTTTGCTTTAATTTTGAGTTTTTTTACAGCTGTAGTATGTTCCTCTGTCCATTTAGAAGGGTTCTTTTTTAGTCTATCATAGAGAGGTTTCGCATCTATGGCCAAATTTTCATAAAAGTCAGAAATGTAATTTAAGCCGCCTAAAAATCTCTGTAATTCAGTTTTATTAAAAATTATATCAGGAAATTTGTCAGCAAATTGGATGGCACAATCAATAGGGATAACAGTTCCTTGATAGATATTATGGCCTAAAAATTTGATTTTTGTTTGGCATAAACATATCTTTTTTGCGGATACAACCAAACCTGCTTGTTTAATGGCCTTCTGAAAAATGTCTATATATTTAAAATGTTGTTCTATAGTTTCAGAGAAAATTAACACAGTATCAATATAAACTATCATAAATTTAAAATATGGATTAAACACATCATTCATGATTCGTTGGAATTCAGATGGGGCATTCTTTAGTCCGAAGGGCATTACATTCCATTCGTACTGGCCGAATGGGACATTGAAGATTGTTTTATATTTATCGTTTTTGGCTATTTGGATCTACCAATAGCCAGATTTTAAATCAAATTTTGAAAAGATCCATGCATTTATTAGTCTATCAAGTAAATATTTTTTATTTGGAATTGGGTATCGTACCCATTTAAGTGCTTTATTTAAGGGTTTGTAATTTATTACAAGCCTTGGAACTCCTCGTTCCTTTTCAGCTGCTTTTTTTACATAAAATGCAGAGCAGCTCCATGGAGAAGAACTTTTCCGTATTAGCTTTTTACTAAGTAATTCTTCTATTTCTTTTTTACAAATTTCTAACAATCTTATATTCATTTGAATAGGTCTAGCCTTGGTAGGAATTTGACTATCATCAAAATTTTGTTCATAAGGTAATTTGACTATATGCTTTTTTTCTTTCCCAAAAAGCATTTGGTAAGTCACTACATAATTCCTTTTCTATTTGTTGTTTAATTATTCCTATTTTCCTTTGATTTATAACCGAACTTAAATCCTTTTCAATTGTTTTGTATTTTATTTTTGTTTTAAGATGGCACAAGAATTTTTCTTTGTTTTCTAAATTATTTTTTACACTGTTTATTTCTTTTATTTTAGGTTCATCAATAAATTCAAATTTCAATTTATGTCCATCTATGGTTGACTCTATTCCTATTGCATCTATGGTTATAGGGTATAATAAACTTAAGAAAGGTGTCCCAAGGATAACCGCTTGGCTTAATCCTTTAACCATAATAAAAGGTGTAGTTAGGCAATTTCCATTATTGCAAACAATAGAATCAGAAAGTTTGTAATTAATCATTAACCTACTTCCGTCAGCAGTATTGAGTATCTGAGTTGTTTTATCAAAATATTTGGATGGTACTAAACCTTCGTTAATAATATTTAGATTTGCCCTTGAATCTATTAATGCTAGATATTGAAAACTATATTCATTTTTTACTACTATTCTTATTAGTGTAAACCATTTTTAATTAATTATTCAGTTAATTAAATTTAATGAATTATTATTATCTTCTATATCTTTTGTTCCATAAGATTCTGGGTTATTAGGTTTAAGCCTATGAGAGTTTATTAGTTGATCAAACTCTAATCCTTCATTTTCATCTATACCAGTTTCAAAAAGTATATTTTGTAATTCTAAAGTCCTTATTCGATTTTTGAGTTGCTGAACTTCTAATTTTACTTCATTCACTTCATGCCTTAATTCTGATATGGTTGGCTCTCTCTTACTCATATCTTTTTTGTTAATTTTCTTCAAAATTTTTGAGAAGCTATATTCTTCTGGAGTATTGACTAAAGGAATGGGCTTTTTTTTTTGTTTTAGCTATTTTAAGATATTGAGCAATTACTCCTTTTCTTTCCTCTGGATTTGAAATTTTATCTATTATTTCTATTATTAAGTTTTCCTCATTTGTTAATGTGTTACAAGCACCATTTTTCAAGTCCTCTTCTGACTCTTCTGCAGAGGTACCAAGAATGAATTCTTCATCTTCAATTTTTCGAAGTAAAGAGCTTTCACTAAAACTAGATTCATTATCAGAAATTCTATCTGTTTGATCATCATAGAGTTGGATAATATCATATATTTTATTTCTGGTTGTTTCATCTAAGATTATACTATCAATTTTTTTTCTCATCCTGCAATTACTTTTATAGTGTCCAACCTTTCCACATTTATAACAAGCAGGTATTTTCTTTTTAGTTTTTTTGGTTTTATATTTGGGTGAAAATCATTTTATAAATTTTTCTTTATTATTCTTTTTATACTGTCTATTCTCCTTAATTTCATTTTTATTTTTATTTTTTTTATATTTTTTATCAGGAGATAGATTGACACTATATCCAATCTGCTCGCAAAAGTCTCCTAATTCTCTTTTTCCCGTCATTCTCTGTTTATCTAATTGTTTTTTCAATTTTAAATCAGTACAGAGAGCTAGTCCTTCTGCACATATCTCAGCAGATAATTCTCCTAAAGTATAAGAGGAGTATGGGATAACTCCCCCATTTTTATTTTTTAGTCTAGTTTTGACTTTTTCAGCAAACAACGATGGTAAACCCACTATGAACTTTTATTCCAATGATCACTACTACTATCTTCCCTTTTTAATAGTCTAGAGAAAAATACATCTTTATACCACTTATAATGGGATAGAGTAGGACATCTAAGATTAGAAAGCAGATCTTCTGATCTAGCTTCTAATAATGCTATAGTACCAACGGAATGTAATGTTATTGTATATATAAGAGTATTTACTGCGTCACTTTCGCTTTGGACTCTATCTTGATTATGCTCATTTTTTACTACCCATTGCCTTGTAGTAGATAGTATTTGATTTTTAGTTATATCATTCATATAAAAATTCCACCA